CCCCCCCCTTTTTCTCGGTGCGGACTTACTTTTTTCCGCTCGGGAAGCGCAAGTGTGCGCGAGTTTTTCTATGGCGCTTTTCTTTCGTCGGTGAGTTGGTTTTTCTTCTATTTTTAAGTTACTAAGGTGAATGGTGAGGAAACTTCGTCCTAACAAAACATAAGCCCCAAACAAAAATAGAAAAATAAGTAAAATAAAAGTAAATAAAAATAACGTTCGGACTTGGTTCCTTACAGTATAGATGATCTCACCATTCTCATTAGCATGCTTTTTCGCTAGTCTATCTGCTTCTTCATTTCCCTGCACCCCACTGTGGCCTTTAACCCAAGCAAAGCTGATAGAATTATCACAGAGAAATTTGCATATATTGCAGGATGATCAGCTAGTGGATGCTTTGCACATGATAGCTAGGTGTACTAATTTAGAAAAAATTCGAGAAAGTGTTTTTAGTATCTCTATTATTCCGTTTGAGAAGTTTTTGAACTTTATTTTGAATTTTTTGAACTAATTTAAGCAATTTCGATTTAATTAATTTTGTTCAGAAGATTAAATTAATTTTTAGGTAATCTTATGTTGACTTATTTTGTTTCAGTGATCTTTTGTATGGAGTGTGACGTACATTTTTGTTTTTGCATATTGGAGTACAGTAATACCTCAACTTACGCAAACCCGGAGTTACACGATTTTCAAATCTCGTTGATTCGTCTTTTGTTTGAACGCCAAGCAACTCTCGATTACTGAATCCCCCCACACTATTGTTTGGCTTACATATTCAGACGTGTAGCGCGGAATCGACACATAGCCACAATTTATTCTGTTATTTATTTCTGTGTTTGTTATATCTACAGAGACTTGAGAGACTCTATGTGGTGATTTCTTGTAACCGTGAACGAATCAAAAGACGAGATAAGATTAACGAGAACATTTATTAGCTTACATACATCCAACTTGGATTTTACACAAATTGCAAAATTATACCCCAACTTATGCGAATTCGACTTACACGGTTATCGTTCGGTCCCACCTATCGCATAAGTTCGGGATATCACTGTATCTGATTTTACCCAAAGGTGGCATTTGTTTTTGTCCTTTAAAAGTGCGTTCGTGGCTAAGAAGTTTTGGGAGACTATCCACATTTTGACAAGATAACTCAATCTTTTTTTCTCTTATAGGTGGGTGTAATTAATTTTTGTTCATAATGTTGTTTTTTGTTTGGATAGTTCTCCCCATAATTTTATTTTTTTGTTTTACTTTTATATTTGGATATTTAGTTTAAATATATTTTTTTGGTATCAATTATAATCTTTGTATAATTTGTTTTATTTATGTATATGTTGATTTTCTCTGTAATAATAACTTATGGATTGTAATATTTTTTTGGTTTGTAATGTATGTGTAATGATTTTTGTATTCCCCACATCATGGGTTCTTCCCAGTATGTGTAAATAAATAAATTAATTAATTAATTAAATTCACATTAAAACCTATGGTAAATCAATAATCGGTTAACGAACAAAGTCTTGGAATGGATTATGTTCGTTAACCGATCATCCGCTGTAATAACAATATGCAATTTTTAACAGCATATTATTCTAATTATAAGAAGTATATTAGTCAACTTATATCTAAATTAAAAGTAAAAGTAAATTTAGTAGATTAATTAAGTCTCTTGCTAAAAATAATATTAATAAATAAAATTCAATTACTTCTTCTCGAACAGGCCTTAACTCCATCAGTGCATTCAATTTTAATTGATTTTCTTTGATACCAGTTTCTTTTATATCCAATTGAGAGGGAACCATTTTCATTTTTCTTTCAAGCTGAAAGAAAGTAATAATAAATACATTTTATTAAAATTGAAGAAAGATTTCATAAATGTATAATATACTTATTAATCTCAAAAAAAGTATGCTTTAATGAAATTTTTGTTTATTTATTAAATATATAAACTTTATAAACATAATAATGATATATATATATTAATTTTACCAGAAATATTTACCATTAAGAATTATTTTCATGAAATAAATTTTAAATTTATACAAATTAAAGTACTGAAAATTTAAGTAAATCTATTTAAACCAAGTTCATTGTAATATATTCAGTATCATCAAATAACAATATACTTAGTATATCTTAAATATCATAGTTGTTAGAACTAGTTGAATTGCCATTATTAAAGACTAATACAGTAACATCTGTATCAAATAAGTTCAAAGGCTTTGCACTCAACAACAATAATCATGATCAATAGTCAGTATCAAATATTGAATAATATCACTTCTGACTATGATAGTTATTCTATTAAAGAGACTACATCAGTCGAAAGATAGCTTTGCATTCTATAAGATTTAATATAGGAAGTTATGCATTACTTTTTAGAAGAAATTCCTAAGATTACACTTGTCTAATCAATGCACATTGACTTTGTGAAATATTTGTTATAAACAGATGTATTAAAGATTAAGATCTGAATTTACAAAAATTCTGTAAATATGAATGAAATCAGAGAAATCAATAAAAAGATCATATCTCTAAAAATATTCAGTCAATAAAATATTTGTTACATTGTGTCTGTTTCAATTAATTTTGTTTAAAAACATCAATTTTCTGAGATTGGATTATAAAATTTTAAAATAAAAGGAAATTTTAAAAAACTGACGGGATCTGGTAAGCGATATTAATTTTAAATGGCTAAAAAAATTTAATAAATAATTACAGAAAATTAAAATATTTGATGCAAGCAATACTTGTTATCAAAGAAAATTTATTCTCATAAGATAATGCAGTTAAACAAAACATGAACTATCATCTACTGTACAATACATTAGGTTATAAAAATTTTTATTATTATCTATTATGTTACTTAACTAATTTGTTGTTACCTGCAAAGTTTGACTATTTGAAAAATAATAAGATGTCTTTATTATCATTGTTGTATAGTAAAAAGTATTTTTAATGGCAAATCTTTCACGCATTTACAAAAATACATTAAATAAGAATAATTTGCATTTTGCTATTAATTTAAAAAATTAAATGTTGGCAATTACATTTGAAAAAAAGTTTTTTAAACTATCAGAAAGTAACAATCATTAATAAATATTATATTATTAATAAGAATAATTTTTATAATATTTGAAGCAATACACTTAAATTATTATAGAGTTTAATTAAAACAAGTAACGATAATTACAATATAAGCCACAACAGTTCAAAACTTATGGACTGTATTATTTTGAGATAACTTATAAACATGCACTGTAAGTTTTAACATTTTTTTCTGTAATAAATATATTATGTAATAACTATTTAGAATACTTTCAACTAATTACTATATATATATGAACTTAATTATTAACAATTATATTTCAGATTAAGTTTTAAAGAAAAGAATTAAAAGATGTATGAGTATTTGTTCCATGAGAATAAACAAAGGTCTGATTAGAGATATAATCATCTATACCAGGGATATAATCATCATTGGAACAAATTAAGTTATAGTTTTTTTTAGTTTTGAACTCTCTGCCCTGTTGGAACTAAGAGAACATTCATTCTGTGAGATCTCAGACTAGTATTTTGAATTTAATTCAAATATTAAATTTTATAAATTTTAACAAAAGCTAAAATTTTTGAAAGTCAACAGAGAAGTTCATGAGACTTTATCTCTTGATAATGCTTCCTTTTGAAGTGACATTTGTCAAAAAAAAGCTTGGATTGGATAATAATCTCACTCTCTATTCAATTTTACCAAATTTGGATATTTCAGATACGTGAGAAAGAAGGATGGAATAAAAAAGGAAAGATGAAAGAAGGTTAAGGAGTTTGCCATTGCTATTCCCCAAGTCACTTTCAAGAAAATTCTTCCCTTCCCAAGAAGTTGTAGAAGATTCCTTTCTTCCTAATCAGGATCTACTGTCTTGTTGATTGTGCATCAACTTTGGACAAGGACTTTGTATTTAATAAATGTGTTTACTTACATTAAGGATCACCTCACCTATGAAAAGCTGAATTCTCAAGAAACTTTATTGTGGGTAATTATCCCCATGCAATCCATTTGTAAACTCTCTCTCTCTCGTGGAAGTAGGTGCAAATAGGTTTAGCTAAAACTCTTTCAAGTTCTTAGCCTCTCTCTCTTGGTTGTTTTCAGGTAGCTCATTATATGTCATATTGCTGCAGTCTTATGCCATAAATCAAAATAGTTCTTTGCTAGATGTAATTTTCTGCCATATTTTGATTTTTTAATACATTGATAATCTATGTTTAAATAAATCTTTGTTGTTTTATTATTAACTTTATAGCCAAGTGAATCACTTCTAGGTATCCCTATCTCTCAACTCTGCTTGCCTAAGTTTCCCATATGAGATTGCTCATGCTGTTAGCTGAAAGTCACAGGTGATGTCAGGCATCCTGACCCAGGAGTGCTGTAGTTCTACTGTTCACATTTCCATGACTATCATGGGTTTGACCAGATGGTGAGGAGATAGCCCATTTATCTGAGTAAATCCATCTCTGAAACTTTCCAGAGAAGACTTCAAACCATTCTAGATTTGAAGTCTTCCAGAGTAAAAAACTGATGTCTTTATTAACTCAGCCCTCTGGTCATCAAAGTTGTAATTACCATGCAAATGGCATACAAATAGCATACAAAAGATTTAATATTATATGAAATAAGTTTAAATTTAACATGTTAACCACCATGAGGTACTACTTCTATGACTTGCTAAAAATTTCCCTAGTATTACTTGAAGGTACTGTACAAAGTTTGTGCAGTATTACACAATATACTCTGTAGACTACCATTAGTATCTCAGAGAGCTTTTTTGTAAATTTAGTTTAATTTTCCTCAGTATGGCAGATCCAAATCTATTTTCAGCACATGACTTTTTAATTTTTTAGGAATATGCAACTTATGGCCTGTAATATAAATTCATTTGTCTAAATTTTGAGGCATATATATTAAACCTCAAACAAAGCTTTCAAAATTAGCAAAAATATTTTTAAAAAATGAAAATGAACCCAGGGAACATAAAAATTTTTTTCAATGGTAGCAGTTAATATGTTAAATGAACTTTTAGACATAAATTCAATTTTATAATTGAAAACAGTGGAATCTTCTCCCACAATATATGAAATTAAATTGATTTTAAAAAGATGTACTTTGTTTCTTAAGATATATTAAAAAATAAAATGGAATTGTTTTTTAAATGTTCAAATATGTAAATTATCTTGTTTAATAAAAACGTTTTTAAAAATACATAAACCATAGTTGAATTATTTAATTTTTGAAATAAATTTTTTGTTAAAATTAAATTTTTCAAATACAGTGGAACAAATATTTATTTATTTAGATATTTATCTAATGCAGCCTACTTCATCAATTTTGTTATGTAAAAAAAATACATCTTATGATTTCTATGAATAAAATTACAGATCTACAAATACCATACTAAAATTTGTTGAAGACTTATAATATCACCCATGTATTGATGGCACTTATCACAACTTGCTATTTGTCACAAGCATTCTTCCCAGATAACCATGTAAGAAAATGAGCCCAAAGTCAAGCACACAATGACACAAAATTTTGTACATTTCTTAATGTCTCTTTTTCCTTACTCAATTAAATATATAAAATTTCAATAGGATGTAGTTGAAAAACTTTGAAGCAAATCTATTTTCTGGCCTTGAATTTCTGTCTACTTAAGTGGGAAATTTTATTAAATGTGAACATTTTATACAAGAAACTTTACATCTCTCTTATGAGGAAAAACTGGGACTTTTGAAATTAAACTTCTTACATGAGAAAATTTCTAATGCAGGAACTTCTGAACTGAGTTCTACTGTGCTAATATAAAAAGTTTCCAGAAGTTTTTACACTTCAAAAAAAGTATTAAAGTAACATTTCAACATAAGATATGATAAAAATATGTCTATAATTTAAAATTTATTGACAACCTCTTTATTAATCTCAAATATTAAATTCTCTCAGCCAAATATTTCAACTGAAATAGTCCAGTAAAATTTTTGTTATTTTAAATAACAGAGAAATATAATAAAAAAGTTTTATAAGCTAAAATACTAGCTTAACATTTTTATCTGATTGTTGATTAATTTTCTTTTGAATTCATACAATAATAGTTTAATGATAAAATATTTTTTTATGTAATTTCATGAATACAATTATTTTAACAATTTTAAAAGTTTAATAATTATATTTGAATAAATAAAGGTTATATTTCATACAAGATACTTACATCACTTATTAACTCCAAAGCTTGTTCTTCTTCTTCAAATCCTCTATGACATAAAGGACAACAAGGAGATCTATTCTTCAGTTTTTCAATGTAAGTTGTGAAAATATACTGGCTACCAATTAGGGCTCCTTTTTCACTAAATAATAATAATAATAATATATGATTAAACATAAAAATTATATTTGATAAAAAATCTAAATGAAGACTATCACTTATAGATTTAATACAGAAAAAACATTTATTTTACATAATTTTGATTTAATAACATAAATAAATGCTGTTTTGAATTAGTTTCCAAATCAACTTCACAAATATATTCTAATTTGAACTAAAGAATATATTTTTAAATATACATACATCCTGTCAACCCAATATCATGTTGCGAAGGGTTAGATTTAACTTTGCAATCAGATCTGGATGGTGTAATTGGAAGAGACACAATGTGGGTGAATAAGTTCAGGAGAAAAGGATAAATTATCTGTCTGTTTAAAAAGGTCACTTATTCAAGTAAAAAAAAAACAATAAATCAAACAACAGTCTTAATTAATTGGGCTATTAACCAGGTGTAAATGTGTCTGGAAGTGAAGAGTCACTTGGAGGTCTGGGTGGTGTAACTGGAAAGTGCACTGCATGGTGAGTGGAGGTTGCAAGTTCAACTCCCACTCTGGACTGATTCTTTTCTTCCAGACTGTTCTAAATTATATTAAACTATTATAATTATTTAATTATGACAAGAGATAGTGTCTAACATCTACCTCTAGTACCAAATTACTTAATTTCTAATTTCTTATTAATTGTAACATAAAATAGCCCAATTAATTAAGACTGTTGTTTGATTTATTATTAATATATTGGGCTTTGGGATGTTTATGTATGTATAAAAAAGAGACATTACTCTATCTCAATTTTACCCAAATAGTGATGTAAAAAGTTTATAATAAGTGAATATAGGTTCTGGCTTGATTGTCAGCTGTTCTTTCATCAATCATTCTCTTCAATGGTGAAATAGTTTGAAGCTGTGAGTGGCAATTTCAAGAGTCCATAGTAGGAAGAAATCACATAATCATCCAGTCATCAAAAACACCAGAAGTGAGTGTTTATTAAGGTGTTAGCACAGGATAATCAGGTGAAGCTGAAGAACACACTTGCAGGTTTGGTGGGAATTGATTGAATAGCTCCATAAGTTGGTTGGAACTGGTTGGAAAAGCTTCATGTCCTTGGAAAATTAGTTTTATAGATTTACCTCTCCATCAAACATTCTAATTGGTTTTCAGGTCCTAGTCCTCACATCCTGATTGGTCATTCACTTACAGCCCAAAATAAACTTAAAAAAAATTTTGAGTTCATTTTGGGCTGTAAGAACAGCTGATGTTACAGTTTAATTTGATGCCAAATGTGATTCCCAACTGAAGATATTTACTGATCTTAGGATTTATATTATTTAAATCAAAAGGTATGTGTAGTTTTTCTCAAATGATTATTCAAATTGAAAAGTTCAAAGTCACCCATAAATTTATCAAAAAGCTAATAGTTCATTATTATGTTTATATTCTTTTGCTATTTTATCGATAGAGAAGTGTTAAAGTGAGTGTGGAGATGCTTGTTGGGTCTCATTCCATATTTTTAAGGCTTACAAGTCACCCCCATTTCAGTATTTAATTTAGTTAGTGTATTTAATTTAAACCATCCTGCATCTTTGATACTCAACCCAAAATTATTTTTTATTGCATTCTGATTTAAAAAAGTAAAATTAGAATGCATACTTTTATTTATTAGAGAAAAAGAAAAGTTTAAAGAAGTCATTTACAATTGAAATTTACCATTAAAATATTCTATATAAATACATGAAAAAGCTGCTTAGTTGTAGCAAGTAATATTAATACTAATAATGTGTTTAATTAAACAGAAACATTTTTATTGAAGACTTGGACTAGGTACAAGTTACCTATAGCCTACTGAAAACTGTTTGGGAAATTCTTTAGCTTTTGGGAGATAAAAACTTCATATATAAGATTCAAAAAATTTTTCATCCTTTTTTTGTTTTTGGATAAAAGTCATGTCTTCTATGTTGTAAAATATGATATTAAAAATTACTATGACTATTTAAGAAACTTGCATCAGTCAGATTAAATGAACCAGAAATGATGGCTAAATAAATCAAAATCAAATGTAGTTTACATTATGACCACTGTAAATTTTCTACTGCAACTACACTCATTGTCATAAAAAAATCCAACAACAAGTTGCCGAATACAACTGACGGAACTGACTAGATCAATCCAACCAATCTTATAATAGGATAGCAGAACCATTCACATTGAATACGCTCATGTTGTTGGCCAATTTGTTATGACTAATCAGAATGGGTAGAATCAAAACTCCTTCATTGCGCACTAAGTTTTATGGCAATGAGTGTATAAGAAATGCCATATTTTACTATTTCATTACTAATCTCTGGGTACCATTATATAGATCAAAGTACACTTTCCATTAAAATTTAAAATTAAACATATATAATAAAAATATTTATTAAAATTTGTCAAATAATAGAAAAATAATCATGCAAGAAAAGAAATAACATGAGTATTTCTGTGTGTATTTATTTCAAAAGAAAAGTTGTTTATAGGAAGATGAATTTTCAAATGCTGTAACCATAATTAATGCTAAATGTGAGATCTGCCGGGGATATGGAATTTGGAATACACTCATATCACTTATTCGGCAACTAATCTTTTAGATTAGCATCAAAGTCGAAGGATGGCTTTTTCCAGTTTATATTGATCATGATTTGGAAAAATTGAGATCCTGTCAGGACTGACACCAGTTAAACTATTTTAGTTGCGGTTTAACTCGCGTATATATAAGATGATTACTAGGAGGGCTATTTCTAAAGTGGAGCATTGCATGAGTGACAAATATTCCGAGCTCAATAAATGATAGAAATCAAATATACAACATAACAAATATTATTTAATTAATGAATAAATGAAATATACTATATACATATCTCTAAAATAACATAAGATAACAATGGAAGTACAATGGAGTTAAATGAGCTTATATCTAACTATACCTATATTTCTATACCTCATGTGAATGCTATACCTGAGAGAGAGAGCTCACAATAAACAATATATATACTACCTCGACTTATACAGTACTCATAGTCGTAGTCTGAGGAGCTTGGGAGATGGATGATGTGGACCGGGAGAATCAATCTTCTATGCGCACAGTATAAATTATGGTCAAACATCTACAAGCACCTTCAATATTATGGGAGGCTGCCTAGGGTTATATGGCACCTTAAACTGTGGAAGCCTGCCTTCTTATGGTTTCTCTGAATTGTAGAGAACAGCCTTGAATGGTGGGAAAATTCCCTTTTTATTGAGACCTCTGCCCAATAGCGTCCATGGAACATGCAGGATGTGTAACAAGTGCAGAGCGAGTAAACTGACTTGTGGCTATATGAAATAGCGATAAGCTTGCAAGAGAAAGGAAGTTGACTTCCCTTTTCTCTGAATATGATGAAAATTACATCCTTTCAAGTGAAATTATTTAAACAAATAAAATATATATCTTCATTATATTAAACCATTTAATCTAATTAACTCGCGGATCTCACATAAATATTTAAATAATTTGTTGATATCAAGAAAATTTTATAGTGACCTTCACAGATAGCATTAGTAGATATTTGGTAAAAAAATTTAACACAGCCAAATACTTACATTAAAGATTTTGATACACAATGATTTTTAATAACAATAAAGTATTCTTTTAATTTTAATCACTTTTAACTATAAAATTATCACATAATTTTAGTCCAATTTTTTAAATTTTCATAATTAAGTATTATATAAATTTGTATAAAAACTGAAAAAACTTACTTGTGTAACTCTTTAACTTTTTTTTCCAACATTTCAAGGCTGCTGTCAAAATCATCACTACCACATAATTTTATAATTTGATTCTTACGTGATTCCAAATCTCGTTCCTTTTTTGTTAATTCTTTACTAATGAAAGTTTTAATGAAAAGAATATTAATAATTAATAAAATTTTAATACAAATGTAATAAAATTTTAATTTAAATCTATTGGTATCCATCAAACAAACAAAAATTTACAGTACTACAAGAAAATGTATTATAATGTTTTTCAATTTATTTTTATCAATATCACTTAATAATAATGATCGATTATGTCTACTGATAAGCTTGCTCATGAAATTTATCATATTTTCATTAAAAACCATCTTTATTATGAAAACTATTTTTGTGAAAAAACTATTGTAGAAAAATTATTTTTAAGTTCTATAGTCTATCATTAGAAGTTTAAATATGGTTAGTAATAAAATAGTCTTCTTTCAATTATAATAATCCCATAAAAAATTACAGCAATTATATTTTCAATTCTACTACTTCATGAAAGCAAACCTAAAACTTAATTGGTTTCATAACTAGACAGAACCTAATACAATGGGTTCATTGTATAACAATTTAAAATTTCTATAATGCAAAAGATTTGAACAAAATCAAATACAAATAAATTTAATTTCATATTAAATTGATAATAAAATGGAAATTATTTTTTGTTTTGTTACAAGAGTATCAGAAAATCTTTTATTAGTTTATATACTCATGTCAAAAAATAAGCATAAAATATTCAGGATGTAGTCAAATATTCCACAGCAGTAACATGGAATTTTTCTATTGTTGCAGTTTAGCCATAGAAAACAATTTATTATCATAAGATACTGGTAATGATAATGCCACAAAGATATTACATGGACAATTTTATAAAAGGAAGAATTATTGGAAGACTAGAAGCAGACCAGTTGCTGACATATGTGTCTAGTATTTCAAATGTACCACAGAGCAACATATCAAGGCTTTGAGTCAGATTTCAAAAAACAAGTACAGGTATACCTCGCCTTATGTCGGTAATTGGTTCCAGGAGAACGACGTAAGTCGAATTTACTTGTCTCCGAATCTACTTATCACTAGGCTAAACCGTAAATTACCATTTCCGGTTCTGTATTTTATTTATTAATGCATTTTTAATAATATATGGTTAATAAAAATCTATTTTAAGCTTACAAACAAATAAATTTTAGTTTTTAATATAGTACAAAAAAAAGTAATGTAAATTTACGAATGCATGTACTGTAAATACAGTACGTACTTGTATATATTTTAATATGATTTTATGTGCTTTAAACGTTTTTCTAGTCATATTACGACTTCAATATTTGTGGCGGACAGACGTTAAGTCGAATAAAATGACTTAAACTTGATTTTTATTTTTCCATATACTTTTTTAACAAGCGACGTATAATCGGGAACGACGTAACTCGAAACCGACGTAAGTCGAGTTTTTATTTTTCCATATACTTTTTTAACAAGCGACGTATAATCGGGAACGACGTAACTCGAAACGACGTAAGTCGAGGTATGCCTGTAATGCTGGACATCAACCAGGCAGAAACTCCAAAATGTCCAAGAGTTATTACAGATCACCTCAACTGAATTGTTATTTGATATTAACTATATGATGTAATAGAAGAATGTCTGGTAGGCAGTTCTCTACATAGATGTGTATGGATACCAGTGTTAGAGATTCACAAAAAACTGTCTACAAGAAGCTTCTGTAAAATGGTCATTTTGCCAATGTCCAGTATACTATGTTTCATTGCTCTTTGTGCACAGAAGTGTTTAAGATAGTGTCAAAAACAATGACATTGGATTTTTGAATAAATGTGGCAATGTTCTGTTCACTAATGAGTCCAGAAAGTCTACAAAATGTTATGATTAAAATGTAAAGAGAGCAGAGAACTCAATACAGTCTCTTGAACATTGTGTAAATAGATCAGTTTATAGACGATTGTTTCATGGTTTTGAGCAACATTATGCTTAATGGCTGTACTGAGCTCCACATGTTTGTAAGGGATGCCATTACTATGAGCTACAGAGATAATTTTAAAAGCCTATCTGAGACTTTTATGTAATGTTGTGGGTGCTGATTATTTTTTCATGAATGATAATGCTATACACATACATACAGCTTTACTCATCAATGACTTTCTTTGACGGTGAAATATTCATTGCATGAAGTGACCAGCATAAAACATCAGATGTTCTGATCTAAATTGCAAAGAACATGTTTAGAATGTTCTAGAAAGACAAGTTGTGTGTCATCAACCTCTGTCAAGAACACTCCAGAAGCTTCAAGATGTTCTTGTTCAAGAATGGACTTTGCTCTCAATAGAAAAAATAAATAAACATTATAACCAGCATGAGCAATTGCTATGCAGCATATGTGCATGCAAAAGGCAACAACATACTATATTAATTTCCTGTGCAAAAGGATTTATGACAATGTTTAGTACTTTTTCTTGTTTTTGGTTTGGTATAATTTAGATTAAATTTTTGGTTTTCAACTCTTTTGTTATATAAAAAATACAATAGTCTGCTTGTATAATTTTAATGGTGTTTTGTTCAGTAGCTTTAGAAATATAGGCCAAATGAATAGTATGTTTATTTTTGGACAAGAATATAAATATCTTGAAGAAAAATAATAAATTAATTCTGTAGTTATTTTTTTTTTTAATCTTCATTCATAAAGCTTTTTGTCGTTTCTTTCTCTTATTGTTTTATTCTTTTGTAGATACTTTTTGGCTATAAACCAAGTAAAAATTCCTCAAAAAATTGTAGTGTGATAAGTCTGCCAAAACAGCCAAAAAATAGCTATAAAAGATTAAAACAATAAAAAAAACTTTTTAATATTTAGAAAGAAAAATTTGCACTAAATCATTAGTTTCAATTAACATAAAACATATCATTTCATCTGATAAATAAAGAAAGAGATTAATAATAAAAAACACAAGTTAACTTTTGATACATGCTAAATTTTATAACCATTACAACTCTGACAGATTTGATGATTTTATTCTATTAAAAATATAAAAACAATTTAAAACAATGTTGTTATTCATCTGTACAAACATTTTGTGAACAATTTTATATAAAAATTAGTGAAAGAAATTATAGAAATTTACATTTATTTGCAAAATTGTTAATAGAGAAAATTAGTCAAATAATGAAAAATACCAATAATATCATAACAGAGCTTTTTAATTTTTCACACTTTGCAAACATAATGAACATAATTTGTATGTTCTAGATAAATAAAATTGTCTCAAAACATATATCTACAATTAATCAAATTTTTATAAAGTTACTTTCAAATAAAACATATTTCAAAAAGTTGTTTACACCTTTAACTTATGAGGTTTCAAGTATTAAATTTTCACCTTTGTTCTTAATAATAGAATTAATTAGTGAAGAAAAATTAAAACAAATATAAAATGTTTTTATGATTAAAAAGTCTATATATGCCTGTAAAAAGTACTGATATTATAATGCAGATAACTATATAGTGTCTAATAGACTTTACTAAATAAATAAGTTGTATGCAATGTATTATGATAATTTAGACTGATACTAATTGAGTATCAAATGCATTTATCATTGTAAAAAGGTCTTTAAATGGAGAATTGTCCATGCTTACAATTTAAAATGATAGATTACATTATAATTTATAGTGTGTAGTAATGAGTAACAAAGTGTTAATTAAAAGTTTAGTTGCTTGTAATAGGTTTTCCTAAAAATTCAAATGTAGACACAATATTATGGTTTATGTACTTACAAAAGATGTTTTCTTGTTGTTTCTAATGAAGATAAATTCAGCTTTTTCTTCTGCATAATTCCATTTTTACTTTGAATCTCACTTGTTAAATCACTAAATTTTAATTTTAAAAAATTTACTTGTAATTTTTTAGTAAATTCAATCACTTTTCTATAATTTAATTAATATTGTATTTAAATACCTGATAAATTTTTCTAAATGTTGATGAATTTTTTCACTTGGAATCATTCCTAAGAGATGTGTAATAGTACCTGAATGTTCTGCTTTACTGAAAAAAATAGAGTAAAATAATAATTTTTTATAGTTAAATCATAAAAACACAGAAAATGCTGATTTCTCTGGAAATCATTAAAGAATGAAGAACTGTAATTTTTGTAAAATAAAGAACAAAAATCAGTAATATCTTCATGATAAAAATAAAAATACAGATATTTTCTTTATGCTGTTGTAATTAATGTTTTTTACTTTAAGTTCAATAGCTATTATAGTAGTAGTTATATTTAATGTCATTCTTATTCAATGCAAGCATTATTTTGAACTGAGCAACAGAAATGTCATATTAATGAATGTTACAGCTGAAAACAATGAAAACATTAAATACATGGCAATATAAGACAAAAACTGAATTCTTAAATTGAAACATATAATCATATATTTTCTTTATTATAGTGTTTTTACTTTAGTTATAATGACTAAGTCATTATTAATTTTTAATTATTAAAATGTAATTCCTTACATTTTCTTTATTGCATCTTCTTTACGTTTCTTATCCTTCGTTAGAAGTTCTATTTCAGCCCTTACTTTGTGTTGTTTTTGCAATTTATTCATTTCAGCACTATAAAATACAAAATTGATTTAACAATGATATGACTGCAAACTCATTACATTAATGTACACTTACTTCAACTTGTTTAACTCAACTTCATGATTATTTTTTTCTGTCTTTTTCTCATCAATTTTTTTACGAAAATTTTCAACACCTACTGATTCCATATCCTTTAGTTTGTTATCCTTTTTTAATTGATAAAAGTATTAAATTGGATCAATAATAAAAATTTCTCTTATATATTTTATAAAATTTTTAAATGTCTTAAGTGAGTTATTATTTTTTGAAGAAACAACTTTCTAATTTTCAGAATGACATTGCTGATTATTCAATAAAGAATAAAAATGAATTTTAAGGAAAATAATGAAAAGTGATTTTTTTAAAAATAATGTGTAGAAGGAATGATGTATTTCAACTGTATTCAGAAAAAACAAAAAAAAAAGATTTCTTATTTTAATTGCTTTTTGTTTTTAATACCCTTTATTTAAAATTTATTATTAAGTGATTTAAATTATTCAGAATTATTTCATTGCCCATGACACTAAAACTTTTATGAGTTTCAAAGCAAATAATTAAATAATTAAGTTATATTTTAATACAACGACGAAAGGATCAAGCCAAAGGTTGTGTGAGGATCCGAATCCAGACTTTCCGTGTGTTTACATCATTTGTTCATAATATCACATCTTAGCTATACTTTCATTAAATAACTGTTAACTTTCACACATGGGAAAAAAACATATGTTAAGTTCTCAGGCCTAATAATGACGCTTTCTCATCACCTTTCGACCTAATATCTCGATTTCAACAGTACAACATTAAAACAGAACAACGAGTGACGCAGTCGTCACCCCGTCCTCAAAGAGATCAGTCTCAAGTTCCGTATCTTTTTCCGTGTGCATTGTGCTTTTCGCTGGACCATCAGACTTATTTAAGTGCCTATTCTCTGGATTAACATTGACCCAAAATACTTGATTGCCTAACTGGACTAACTTGTTGTCAAGACCTACTAGCAACTCACTAAAACTCAAGGTATTTATCACCACATGCAACTTCTGTAAACTCTCTCTCTCGAGAACCACAGAAGTGTAACCGAAATCTTAGATCCATTTTAATGTCTATTATATATATATATATCTCATATCAATTGTAGCAAAGACCTCTAACAGCTAGCATATTTAGAATCGACATATTTTATATCCTGTATGGCCTATAGTTACCAATTAAATAGTTGTTACATTAACCTGTCTCTGAGTAAGTCACTTCCGGTGCGCTGTCTCTCCCTCCATCCTGAATCGTTTGCTCACACACGTGATCGTTCGCGCGAGAACACAATGGTTTCTGTGTCTGTCCATAAACACACAGTGGTGTCAGTCAGTCCTGACGAAACTTGTCATTGCGATCTTCGCCGACCAATGTCGACCCTTCGGTCACGTGGTGCCAAAGTATAGGGAGGCCCTTCGGCATTGTCACAGTTGAGTAAAGAAAAAATAATCAAGTGGAAAAACCCACACACATTCTATTTCTCCTGATTTCTTAACAGATAAATCTGATCAAATATCTCTCCAATTTTAACAATTATTACTAAGGTTGTAACCCAAACCCTGACCTTAGCCACTACCAACCATTAATTCAGTTTGGTTGACAGCTGTTATCAATTTTATGAGGTAAAATGAATAACAATACTGGATAGAAAGAGGTAATAAATTTGTTGAAACGTTTGATTTCTGACAATTAACATAACATAAACAACACCCGGATGCAAATTGAACTTAGACCATATTGCATCAGAATTCCCTGAGGGACGAGTATAAAAAGGGGTTGCACCCGCACCTCGGGGCAATCGTCAAAAAGAAGCTTCCAGGTCAGTAACTCTATTCAGACCTCTCCTCATCTACCCTACCAAGGGACTGCTCGGGACATGATTGATGCATTATAGAGAGGACACCCCTGACACTCTCCACAGTCCACGATAATCTCACCAACATTGTATGAACAGGACATGACTTATCAGAGGTATTTTAGCTACATAATTGTAAGCTCTCTCTCTTGCGGGCTTAGTTTTAGTATAGTATAACACGTAACTACCCCTATGTATTTAACCCTTTTATGTTTTTATTAAATTTGTTATTGTATTTAAAACCTATCTACCTGTCTTATTTGGGGGACGGACACATTATCAACTTATCCACACTAAACTCCCCACTCGATTTAAAGCCCTCCTAACTTGACAACGTGAATTAGTTCTACTAACTTGTTGCCAGTAAGCGGAGTCAAAAGAGTTTGCTGCTCTGCCCCCTTGGTTCTCACACTTTTATTAAACTACAGTAGAACCTTGATTATCCGGACCTCAATTATCCGAATTTTTGATTATCCAGATTGTTCAAAATAAACAAAAATTTTAAGAATTTGCTGATTTGCACTTGGCAAATTGCAATACTGTTTATGTACATGATGGAATGCATAACTTTTTTTGTTCCAACAACGTCTCACCCGGCACAGTGGTCATAAACTTTTTAATACATTTTGTGTCGTAATAAAAATATAACTTGACATACATATTTATAAATAATTTATATTGAAATTACATCATTTTTATGGCCAAGGGCAGCGTAAGGCATGGGCAATGTGGACCACTGCCTATGGCCTCGCAGTCCAAGGGGCCTCGTGCCTTGAAAGTTTATGCATTACTTAAATGCCGTGAATACGACGAAAAAATTTTACTCGTCATAAAACGATAAATAGTTTGCATTTTTATGAATAAAAATTTGAGTTTCAACTGCTTTTTACTGTATTTTATAAAATCTGTCTTCTTGTGCCACCAGAGGGCCTTTAAACAATAGGCAGTCTGTTAGTACCGGTCAGTAGTAGTCCAAATTCAATACGAACGTTTGTTTCTTGAAAATTTGATCACAATTTAATTTGTTCATGATTTAATTTGATCACGATTAAATACAGTATTTATTTTTAATATTACCGATATGTCATTGAAAAGAAAACGTGTTGTATTATCATTAAAGACAAATTGGATATAATCAATGCTTTGAAATGCAGTGAGTCTGGATGTTCATTATCTAATAAATTTGGTGTTGGAACGTCAACGATCTCAGATATAAAAAAACAAAGTGAAAAAATTATGAAGTTGAATTGAATTTCTTAATAAAAAATAATTTAATATTGAAGCTACAGTAAATGTAAATCTAGACAAATAAAAATTATTCATACTGTATGTACTGTACATGTCTTTCACTGTCAATTATTATTTTTTCGATTATCTGGATTTTTCGTTATCCAGACTATTTTCATCCCCAATTAGTCTGGATAATCGAGGTTCTACTGTATATATATTTTAAATATGTAATTCAAACATATAATCTAATGTTCTGATGACTAATTCTCTTATAATTTAACTTTCTACTTCTATTCTGTTTTTCAAATATCAATATGTAACTGATTCAAACACCATTATTCTCTAGGAATTATCACATCCACAGATTCCAATAATACTAGCCTAGCAACAACTTTCCAGATGTATTTTGGAAATTACAAATATTGTTGTAATTTCTAAAATGCATCTGGATAAAATAAAGTTGTTGATAGGCTAGTATTTTTGGAATCTGTGGATGTGATAATTCCTAGAAAATAATGGTGTTTGAACCAGTTACATATTGATATTTAATTCTCTTCTTTCTGTCTAAAGAAGCATGTGTTGCTTCAAGTGAAGAATGTTTAATTAAAAAAGTGTTTATTTGTAATTATAAATTTTGCAATGTTGATAAAATATGTTATATTTTTAACTTCTTATATGTATATAGCTAATTATTCAATTGAAAGTGTCTGCAGGTTCAATACACATTCAATAATTATCTCAAGTACTACTTTTCATAAAAGAAAAACTTGTGAATTATTTTTTTTATTTGCTACTTATATATTACTAAATTTGAGAGAAACTTTTCTTGTGTTAGTTCTTGTTAAAGAAAATAGACTTAAAATAAGACATTTTTTAAAATAAAATATTTTTAAATATGTAATTAAAATATTTCTTCAACAAATTAAAAATATTCCAAAAGACTACATTATAAAAGATAGACAAAACTTTATATCATGGAAGCGAAATTTCACTCATACAGGCATTTACAAAATCTTACATCTGTAAAGATAAAATAAATAAAAACTGAATGCTTTTATTTATAAGATTAAAAGCATTCTATAAATATAATTTTTTTGTCATCAGTTAAGAAAATTAATTTTATATTAAATTAATTTTATATTACTTTGTTATTAAGTATATATTATATCATCAAATGCTACATATAATAAATCAAAGAGTTTTTCATTTTATCAAAAAAAAAATTTTATTGACAAGATCCATGAATTAAAAATAAATCTAAACTGTTCTTATATTTAATTATTCAATCACAAAAACATTTAATTATAATGTTTTAAGATCACTGTATTTATTAATGACAACAATATTTAATATAATGTACTATTATTTATATAATTTAAAAAATAAAAATAAATCAGCCAATTAACTAGAGAAGGATATCATGAGTGGTAACTTGTGACTGTCTGATATTGGGGTACTATTACTACTTTACATAACAAATTACAAACTATATACAGTATATATATAGAGGTCATTATGTAAAGTAAAATTAGTTTATATTGGTTTTAATTTAAAAATAATTTATATTCCCAATGGGTTTCAATATCAATATACAAGTCGACCCCCCTATAACACAGTTGATTTTTCTGTTTTATATGAATTTCTTGTTGTACAAGTCACTTAGATTTTACAAATACGTGTGCCGGGCTGTGAACAGCTCACGTATTTGTAAAATCTAAGTGACTCGTACAACATGAAATTCATATAAAACAGAAAAATCAACAGTGTTATAGGGGGTCGACTGTATTGGAAATATATTGATGTTGAAACTCATTGGAAATATGCAAATTTCATAAATTAGCTTCATATGACTGATAATACATAAATTCAATACAGTGGTACCTCAGGTTACGAACGCCCCAGCATACGAAATTTTCAGGATACGACATGAAATTCGAACATATTTTTGCTCCACGATACGAACAAAAACTCACCATACGACGTTACATTAGTTCGCATTTTTCATTTGTTCTTCTTACTACAGTTATTTTTTTAATGTATTACTTGGCTTTAATTTGAGTATGTTTTTCGCGTTGGAACGAATTATTTGGTTTTACATGTAATCGTATGGGAAAAGATGATCCACCTTACGACATTTTCATGATACGATCTCAGTTTCGGAACGGATTAATTTCGTATCCTGAGGTACCACTGTATAGGACAATTAATAAGTATTTCCACTTGTTACACTCAAACTTCTTCAGAATGTTATGAAACTTCAATTTTAACTAAATTAAAAAAAATACATAGTTTAAACATGTAATATATTATGCCTTTATAATATGTGTTAAAATATATATTAGAAAGTACTCAGCAAACCACAAAGCATAACATACAAATAACATCTTATCCTTGCCGAGAAAATACTTATTTTATAAACAAATGTTTTCAGCCTGATTCACAGGCCATCATCAGGTTGTGAACGAAATTAAAACTAAAACATTCCAAAATAGAATATAAATTCAAAAAATTAAATAACAAACATAACAACATAAAATAAAATAAATTAAAACAAAAATTAATCATGTGAAAAATACAAAATAAGAATATAAGATTGTTTACTAACAATATCTCTAATAAAATTAAATTACTAATTTAATTAGTGGAGTTCTTAGTAAATTTTTTAATCATAAACTTCCATGCAGAGGGAAGACTTTCTGCATCCCTTGCATTCAACATTTGTTTTATAAAATAAATATTTTCTCGGCAAGGATAAGGTGTTATTTGTATGTTATGTTAAAATATATTTTGTAAAATTAATTAAAATATATTCAAGATTCAAAATTTTTGTTTTTTTCATATTAATATTTATAGGTCATGGGAACTCTGCATCTCTGTTCTGATCAGTAACTAATTCTTTGCTCTGTGCTCTCTTGCAACAGCATTGCTAAATAGTACAGTGTCATCTAAAGCATTTCATCATATCATGAGTTTAGAAAGCCAAACATGCAAGACTGTTCTCTGAGTGGGAGATGGTACTGCATTGTTTAACAGTGCAGTTGCAGAAGGATGCAACCATCTTAATAGGAATCATTTGTATTTCATATACTGTTTTGATTGGCTCATTTTAATTTTAAAAAATTAATTTTAATCATGTATAATAATTTATATAAGTATTATATAATAAAAATTGAGAGATTATTTTGTGTTCTTTTTTCTTTGGAAATGCTGTAGTTCAGCAAGGATTATCACAAGCCATCACTAAATATAATATCACAGGATAACATACAATCATTTATGAAAGATTTATATTTGCACAAAACTATTAAATATATTGCATAAATAATAAAATCAATAAATAATTTTAGATTTTTACTCTAAACATTAAAAAAACAATTAACATAATTTACCATTTCCTGTATATCATGCTCCAAATCATCTTTTTTATTACCAAGTGTACTGGCATGATTAAGTTCTGCTGTAATTGAAGAAATTTTCTCCTTGTTTTTAAACTAAAGCAAATAATAAGTAAATCATTAAATATAATGATATCTGATCAATAATAATTTAATTCTACTACAGTTCAATTTTTATTTATTACAGAAAAGTTTTAATAAGTGTAAAAGGTTTTCTTGTATTTTTTATTGCACTGAAGAGGCTTTAACTGTCCTCACAATGTACTTTAATATGTATGATAAAAATAAATAAATAAATAAATTTATTATTTTACAGCTCTTATTCCCTTATTTCAATTCTGATTTCTATGTATCTTAATTAACTATTTTAATAATTTAACTGTTTTTTTAAATATCAATGAAGAACAACAATTATTAAAATTATTTTTAAAATGGCAACTTTGAGTCTGAATCATGAATCATCAATTCCATATTATATGCTGTAAATGTATAAATCTTGAATTTTCATTTATAGGTAATATTCATGTTTTAGTTTCTTGTCCTTTAATTGGTTAGCTGTAATTAATTTCTTCTAGACTGAACAATGGTATATAACAAGTCCTAGCCAAAAAATGTGATGATAACCAAGCTTAAAATTATTATAGGTAATATATTAAATGAATTTCTAGTAAATCAAAAGATAATAAAGAGGTTGAGGCGCACGTTTTAAACGTGTACGTGTGACGTTCGGCGCCGCTTTCCCGTAAGCCTAAAAGTTTGACAATGGTGTTTGGAATGTCGAGCGTAATTCCACCGACTATCCAAACACTATTGTCAAACTTTTAGGCTTACGGGAANATAGGAATCATTTGTATTTCATATACTGTTTTGATTGGCTCATTTTAATTTTAAAAAATTAATTTTAATCATGTATAATAATTTATATAAGTATTATATAATAAAAATTGAGAGATTATTTTGTGTTCTTTTTTCTTTGGAAATGCTGTAGTTCAGCAAGGATTATCACAAGCCATCACTAAATATAATATCACAGGATAACATACAATCATTTATGAAAGATTTATATTTGCACAAAACTATTAAATATATTGCATAAATAATAAAATCAATAAATAATTTTAGATTTTTACTCTAAACATTAAAAAAACAATTAACATAATTTACCATTTCCTGTATATCATGCTCCAAATCATCTTTTTTATTACCAAGTGTACTGGCATGATTAAGTTCTGCTGTAATTGAAGAAATTTTCTCCTTGTTTTTAAACTAAAGCAAATAATAAGTAAATCATTAAATATAATGATATCTGATCAATAATAATTTAATTCTACTACAGTTCAATTTTTATTTATTACAGAAAAGTTTTAATAAGTGTAAAAGGTTTTCTTGTATTTTTTATTGCACTGAAGAGGCTTTAACTGTCCTCACAATGTACTTTAATATGTATGATAAAAATAAATAAATAAATAAATTTATTATTTTACAGCTCTTATTCCCTTATTTCAATTCTGATTTCTATGTATCTTAATTAACTATTTTAATAATTTAACTGTTTTTTTAAATATCAATGAAGAACAACAATTATTAAAATTATTTTTAAAATGGCAACTTTGAGTCTGAATCATGAATCATCAATTCCATATTATATGCTGTAAATGTATAAATCTTGAATTTTCATTTATAGGTAATATTCATGTTTTAGTTTCTTGTCCTTTAATTGGTTAGCTGTAATTAATTTCTTCTAGACTGAACAATGGTATATAACAAGTCCTAGCCAAAAAATGTGATGATAACCAAGCTTAAAATTATTATAGGTAATATATTAAATGAATTTCTAGTAAATCAAAAGATAATAAAGAGGTTGAGGCGCACGTTTTAAACGTGTAAACGTGTACGTGTGACGTTCGGCGCCGCTTTCCCGTAAGCCTAAAAGTTTGACAATGGTGTTTGGAATGTCGAGCGTAATTCCACCGACTATCCAAACACTATTGTCAAACTTTTAGGCTTACGGGAAAGCGGCGCCGAACGTCACACGTACACGTTTACACGTTTAAAACGTGCGCCTCAACCTCTCTAACAACTGAAATTTTGAAATAGTCACATACTGGATGGGAAGCATAACGAAAATAAGAAAAAAAAATTAATGAAAATATGTATTAAACTGCCAGTAAATTATTTATGAATGTAATACTGTTACTTCTACAGTTCAAATTTCTGTACTATGAATCTTGAACATACTATGTGATATTCTCACTCTGTGCCACAAGTTGTCAACTTCTGATATGTACATAAATTGTAATATTCTTTTCTTTTGTTTCTTTTAATCTTGTATAAAACACATGATATTTGTAAAAATGAACATATATGTCTTTTGAAAAATTAAAAAAAGGAATTTTTTTAACTTTTCTTTCATTGCAACCTATGGCACAGAGTGACTACTATTATTATATTCCAGACTCACAGTACAGAAAAAAAGGAAACATTGAGCAATAAAAAACACTTAAATATTATATTTCTAATTAATTTACTAACAGTCAAAATATATTTTCATTAACTTTTGTTCTTATTCTTATTTTCATTGTGCTTCCCACCCAATATATGACTATTTAAAAATTCAACTTATTGTGTTTTGATTCACTAGAAATTTATTTAAAATATTCCCTATAGATAAAAATTCAAAGTTTATACATTCACAATGTACAATATGGGATTGCATTCTTTCATTGTAATGTATTATATTAATATGATTGATTGATCTGGTTTTGGTTATAGCATGGTTTATCTATACTAATATTATAAAGAGGTAATGTAAGTAATTAAGTAAGTAAGTAAGTAAGTTTGGATGTAGCGGGTAATCTCTGAAAATACTCATCCGATTTCAAAAATTCTTTCACCAATATTTAGAATGGAACTTCAGGGTGGACATAGGCTGTATATTATTCCATTAAACATTCATATAAATTAAAAGATATAATCTAGGTTAAGGCTTTTATGTCCAACAGATGACACTATGAGTACGATGCCCTAAGTTTGCTTTTCTGTGAAGCATTACGCTTTTCTGTGAAAATGAACTAAAGCAGATCATCTTCTATCTATCTATAAAAATAAAAATGTAATGTTTGTTTGTTCCTACCGATTCCTTTGACATTTTGACACAACGCTGCATTCGAATATGCATGTGTTTTTATATAATATACGTGTCGAAATTCCTTCCACTGAAGGGAGATGGTTAGGATTAAGGCTTACCATAAAGAACTCTGCTTCTATTTATACTATTTTAGATGCAGTTTTTTGTGTTTTTGATTGCATTTTAATAGGGTACGTCAAGAGAATGTACACTAAGAAGAAATTTTTCGAAAAATTTCCCCCCCACGGGGGAAATTATACATTTATAATAGATACATTTTGAGCCACAACAATGTGTGGTGGGGTCTGCTAGTGTATACATAAAATTTAAGTGATTTTTATGACAAATTAAATATTAATCTATAAAATACACTTTTTAATATTGATATATATCATTCAATATAAACAATAGACAATTTGTTACAATCAAACCATTGCATGACATGCATCATGTAATGATTTGATTCATAATTTTCAACTTTGAGAACAATCTAAACATACATTACACATTTAAAAACTTACTATTGTATCAGAATTGATTTTGCAAGAATGATCCAATTCAGTTTTTTTATCTCTGAAAGTATCCAATTGATTCTGTACATCATTTTCCCCTTTTTCATGTTTTTCCTAAAATTAAATAAAAAATAATTATATCCAATGCTTAAACTAAAATTTTATTTAAAACTATTAATGTGATAACTAAAATTATAAGTACATGTTGTGCTTATTAGCTTGTAAGAAAGCTCTCTAATAGATACTTATATTTAGCACAATAAGCATTAAATAGAAATAAGTATTACATTTTTGATTTGTAAGTCCATTAGGCCAGGAACACACATGCATAAAATTTGACATAAAATCTAAAATAAAACTGGAAACTAAAAAAATTTTCTGAAATTTTGGCTGAAAAATAACTGAAAAAAGAGTAGAGTATGTCCAGTGGTGATATTCAGCGGGTTCGCACAGGTTCAGCCGAACCCGTTGTTAACATTTTCAAAGTTTTCCGAACCCGTTGTTAAACACACGTAACATTTCTCAGTGGTTTTGTTTCTTTTAAAAAATATATTAAAATATACGTATTATACTCTGTAACACTACTAAACTAGAGCCTTATACCCTGTTCGCCTTGGTGCAACCTCCATCGACCGTTTCAATCTCGACTGAAACGAGG